CAGCCATTCAGCACCATGCACTGAATAATAATTCCACTTTTTTTAAAAAAAAATCATTTTCTTGGGCTTTTTAGCACCTAACAACACCTCAGTTTAATATCTCTGTCTGAATATGTGAAAGTCAAGAGTCAAGGGGGAACAGAGCCAATATTGCTCAAATGCAGAACACTTGTTCAGCAAGGAGAAATTCAGTGCCACTTACAGTATGACAAGGGAAGTTTCTTACTAGTTTCTACCAATGTTAACAACCACCATTTCTGTCTCTCATTGTAAAAAAAAAGTCTAACCTATAAAAAAATCTAAATGTTCCCCTGCCTAGTTCACTCCTGGTTTGGATTTGTTCATTCATTGCCAGCTCTCTTTCATGAAAACATTGACTCAGCAACAAGCCCCTCCTCCCTTCTTTGCTCCTGCAAGCCAAGCAAGATTAGGCACAGTCAGAATCATCTTCAGCCCACCCTGCCCATCTGGACCCCACTGCTGTTTTCGGCCCCATGATGAAAAACACAGCTAATGTATAACTCCTTTTGTGTGCTTTTGAGGAGGGCATTTGCCCTGATAGAACAACTTGAGCAAAGGGGTTAAATCACCTTTTCCCAGGTGCTGTGTTTCTAGGTTGCATCCACATTCAATATGTGATCCCTGATTGACTGAGCTTCTTTGTTGATTGAACCCTTGTTGACTAGGATCATGCGATAAAGATGATCTCTAACATACTTGAGAAGCAATAACAAGAAAACAAAAGCGAAAAAAAGGTACAAAACTGGACAGAAAGCAGCCCTTAATATAACATTTTTCATCCTGAGAATTGTTTTTTCAAAAAGTCAGCGTAATCCTAAGGAATAGAGTATCTTTGTGCTGTGATATCACATATTTCACGAATATTTCTTTTTTGACCTTTATAAAGAAAAACCTTCATTCTTTATATCTTCACTGTTTCTCTAATGATTCTTTTATCATTTTCTCATAATTTGTAATTGCCCTAGAGACTATTGCAATTCCCTTTCTTACCGCTGGCCAGCTGCTAATTGGACACGCCTGATCTGGTCTCATAATGACTTTGTATCTTCAAGCGGATCTGTCATTGGCTCCTGGAGAGCAGGGTGATTCAACCCTCCGAGATCCTGCATCTCTAGAAAAATTGTGTTACAATCTGACCCCTTGATGTAAGATTGCCATAATATTACAGTCATGTGTCAGGAGGGGAGGAATCGTATGACTGAGCCAACTTTTCATGTAAGAACCAAAACAGAAGTGAGGTTGAAACCAGAATTTAAAGAATGTTCATCATACAATACAGCTCCCAACATATTCCAGACAGTGTGCTGATGGAAATTTGGGGGAGAGGAGGTGGAAAGTAGGCAGAGGAAGGGGCAGAGGTCACAGCTAGAGGGTTTATATGCTCCACTGAATGTCCTTTTTGTGGAATTTCTCTCTAAGGAGACTCACCAGCTCAGCTCTCTTCAGCTTGTAGGACGTGTTACTCAAATTGTTTCAGAATCTGAGATCATGCTAGCATTCCAAGAATGATGACATGCAGAGCTTTGTTCTAGAGCAATCATTCTTGGAAACAAACCCCATGCTTACTTATGTTCAATCACAAAACAAATCAGGCAAATTTGCGAACCATGGGTGAAGATAGTTGACATGTGACAGTCAGCTATCTTTCAGCACCTGGGGAATTCCCTCTTCTAATGATGTTCTATCTGTAATGTATAATTTGACCCTCAGATGGGCAAGAGGCATTTAAGGACATTCTATACCTCAGTGGTAGCATTTATGTTCTATGTCCAAGTTTCAGCCCCAAGAATCACTAGTTAACTGCAATGGGAACTATTTGCTGTGTGAAGCACTGCTCATGATCGGAGTGAAGAGTACTGAGCTAGCGGAACCACTGGCCTGCTAAAACACAGCTTCCCATATGGAGACAGTTAAGAGCCGTGGGCGGATTTTCAAAATTTAGTTAATGCATTTACGAGAACAACATGTTCATGGATAAACTGGCAGTGGGTGGGTGGTAGTAGCTAAATGCCTGCTGAGTCAAATGTGCAAAGAAACCTGGATGCTTTAAGCAGATCCTGATGGCTCAGGTGCCAAAGTGAAGGTCTTTGCATGTGAAGTGAGGTTTTTTTTTTTAAATCCTCATATTGATCTGTCACTCTTGGGTTCACAAAAACAAAATCAAAGAGTCTGTAGCCTTTGCTGACTCTTCATTATCTTCTGAGTCACTGCCTTCAATACATTTGTAAAGCCAGGATTCATATCCGCCCATCTGTTCATCAGAGATGTTGGTGTACAACACTCTCCAACCCTGAAAAAGTTTAATTAGCTGATGATGAAGCTTGATGGGAGATGTAGTCCAACAACATCTGGAAGCTTCTCTCCCCCAATGTGGACCCCAACAGCACCAGCAGCAGCAACAAGACACAACCAACCGGGGAGGATGTGTCTTTAGATAAATTATTGATTTCTCCAGCATTTCTTTCACTGACAACTTGACAATTAAGTCACTACTCGTATAGTAAATGTTTTGAAAAGGCCTCGTCAGGACCTCATCCCACAGCTCTCTGCCATCTTTAGGGCCTATTTTCTGGCCACCATGTGCCAGCCCCCCCACCCCCGTTTCCTCGCCTTTCATCAGCAGACACTTTTCAATACCATCAGTGCCATCTGCAGGATATTTTGGAAATGTCTTCCTCTCCTTGGCTGAAAATTGACTGTACGGTGCGTGTTCATTAGATTTTATTCCAAGTCACTGAATGAAAAAGGCTCTGCAGAAAGAGCAATCCACACATCTCTTGCATTTTACAAATTTGATCACTTTGGGTCAGTTTGAGGAAAAATTGCTGGCCCCACACCCAACAAATGGATACATGCCATGCAGGTGAGGCTGCTATTGATGTCCAATCATTGCCTGAAATCAAGTGGTCCAGTATCCATAGACGAAGGGGACTTGTCTGGTAGTGGTCCTCAAAGGTCTAAGACAGACTCTTCCCCAGAGCTTGGAATATTTATATATATTCTGTGAAAGAACACAGAATTGAGGAGCAGTACAAAAAAAAAAAATCCAGGACATGGTGATCTCCTGAAGAACTGTACGTATACCGATCAATCTATACTTTGCCAGGCCTGACAGCACCACAGAACAACAGCAGGCACCTCACCGCTCTTCTCAGCCCCCCCCCCCGGCCAAGGCCACCAGGCACATAAAGGACACTTCAAAAATCATCCAATAAGGCAAGAGAGGCGCCTCTTCTCTTTTCCACCACTGATTCCTGCTGCAGGATTTATGATTTGAGGCCGCGCAGAGTTCTCAGACGTGTCGCGCTTGTTCTAACAGCAAGGTCTTTCTTTCTTTACTTATTTTGTCTCGTCTCATTTATAAGCCACCTTTCTTCCTCCAAGGGAGCGCAAGGCAGCCAGAGGCCTCAAGGATTCTGCTCTGCCTTCTAGCTGCAGTATTTGGCATCAAAAATGCCCTTGCAGATGGGAAAGATGAATCCTGATCTCTTCTTCTGAACAAATGTGACTTTGGCTATGAAATAACCGGGCCAGGTAATTCCCTGACCTTGAAGCTGTTCCTTTGCTCCCTTTAATCCGTCACCTTCCTCCGGATGCTTCCAAGGACAGGGCAAAGGGCAGCTATTTTTACCACCCTGGCCCTGATCCAGCAGCTACTGGACCAAGGAGTTTGTTTGCTTGCTCCTTTTCATAGTTGCTTAGACCACCACCACCACCCCAGTCTGTAGCCTTTGTTCAAAAGCCACCAAAGACGACTTCCTGTCATTGCGGCTCCTTTTCTCACCCAGACTCCAGAGCCCCCCCAAAACTGATCCCAGATGTTTACTTGCCTTTCATGGACGCTGATATGGTAACTGTTGGGGCTTTTCCTGGCATTTTGCTCAAGGAGAGAGAAAGCTGTCCAGTAACGCCTGGATTTACAGACATCCCCAGAGGTTGCCAAGATAAGTGTGCTTCGAGTATACACATCCACTAATTGGAGTGAGGGAAAAAAAAGTGAAGCCATTTTTACAAAGTGATCCAAACCCCACCTGACCTTGTTGTAATAGGATCACGCCGGGATTAGCCTGTGACACGGATTGGACTTGGCTCCATTGTTCGCTTGCAGAGCAAATTAATCTTGCTCCAGACACTGAGCTGCACTTACTTAGCTTTTCTCTCCCTTTTCCCAGCCCCACCTCAGGGCAAAGGACAGCTGCTGGGAAAGGAAGGGTGGAGGCCTCGCCCTCATGGGCAGCCGAGGACGAGACAAAGGGCTTAGCTCTGCCACTGCCTTCAACGACGGCGATGGTCATGTTCTCTCTGGGGAGAAGGGGGTGAGCTCGCCAAGGGATTGCTAGCGCAGAAATCCGCTCTGCACCCTCATCACACAGCATTTCCCAGAAGGCTTTGAGGAAAGCGCCGGCACTCAAGATGGCATAGCGCTCAGTAGGAGCTACAGCGACCCTTCCCTCGGAGCTCGGAAGGGGGAACTTTGCGGTGTAGTTGCCAGAATCCTCCAGCCAGCATGGCAGTTTCTGAGAGCTATAGGTTAAAAAAAGGGAGCATTCCCCTCCAATGCCCCTGCCCCATTGTTCTCTCACCACCGGATTAGCCAACGAGGGAGCGTCATGACTGAACTGAAGATACAGGGAGAATTCAGACTGCTGCAGAAAGGAAGTCGGAGCGTAGCTGGGATAACATGAGGCAAAGGGAGGGCTTCCAGCAAGGGGACAGCAAGCAGGGTGGGGTGTGTGTGAAAGAAGCCAAGCGCAGGGCAGTCATCCCAGGGGGGAGGGAACGCTGCACTCGTCATAACAAGGGGCTTCCAGCTGCACTGGGCTCAGCACGCCTGCCCCAAAGAGCTCAGGTTGTGCAAAGGAGATCCGATAGCCACGTCAACTTCTTCTGGCTCCTCGGAAGTCAGAGCTTGGTCACCTCACTCCAAGGTGCCTGCACAGGAATGACTGACCTCTTACACGAGGTGTTTGGTTTCTTACCTGTCTTCTGGCTTCTGCCCTGGCGCCCATCTCTCCCCTGATCTAGTGGGTCTCAGGTGAAGGCGTGACCGTACTGGCTCTTCATCCTGCAAGATCCACAGACTTGTAATCCTGACAAGCAGTCGGGCTTTGACTGGGCATCACTTCCTCCTGTTTTGTGACCAGGGACTGGGTCTGATCTTGGCTCTTTGAAAAAGACTGAGCTCCTGACAGCTGCAAGAGAGAATCGGCATTTCCTTGAGTTACAATTGTGTCTCTAATTATCTGATTCCTTAGACAAATGCTCTATACATATAAGAAAGAAAACTTCCCAACACATTTTTGAAATGTCTCTTTCAGATACAATTTAATAACAATAGTGGAGATGACAAGGGACCACACTGTACTCCAAGAACTCCAAATTGATACACTGATCATTACAGCCATTCTCCAGTTTAGGCCAATGTCTAAATACCAATTGGAGCGCTTTCCCTCGGAACGTCAACTCATGCCACCAGATCCTCACAGGCCATGCTCCTTCAGGTTGCAGGCATACGGTTTGGCGGATCCATTTAAAATCCAGTAATTTGTATTTCAGACAATCTGTGGTGTGTTTTGGTACACTGGACAGGGGACAACACAACATCTTTCTTCCAATGGGGCTAATGTTCAAGCAAGCCCTGCCGTTAAGCAGATGCTGGCGGAGTGGAGAAGTGGGGCAGGGTGTTGGCAGAAATGAAAACTTGTTCTTTCCATCTTCTCATGCTTCTTGAAATCCCATCTGCATTTTATTCCCGTTCTTGCTTTCTACTGGTCACAAGACACTCTGTGCCCACAATGTAACTGGTGCATTTTTTCTGTTATGCACATCTTCTCATTATTTATTTGTACATTTTATCTCATATATGCATTCCCCCTAGTGAAGAAAGCATACTTGTTCGTAAGTTTCCAACTATGTGTTTTAAACGTTCACATTTTGAAAGACGTTGCTTTGTGGGCACTTTATTTCTCCAAAACACTCGGTTAGCTACATAAATGTGTAAATCCCAAAGCAAGATGGTTTTCTTTTCACAGCAAGTCCCAAGAGGTGTAAATAGCCTAGTTTTTTCCCCCATGAAATTTTTCATCCCTATGCACCGGAGGATATGGGCCCCCAGCGCACCATTGCCAAAGGTAGTTGCAGTCTTCCAAGACAGAATAGCGAAGAAACGAACAGAACATTTTAGCAAATTTTATCCAGCACGTAGATGCCCCCAATTAAGGATGACATAGATGTACTAATAATTAGTCCAAAATTATTGTGATGCTCCCAGGGTTTTCCGAGTATAAAGCACTCGGAAGCAGTTGTCCGATCGTTCCATCTGGTGGAGGTCTGGGAGCACCATGCAGCCTGTCCAAGGTCACACATGTGGCAGGGCCCATCATCCCCTCAGCTACACATGCTCCAGGCTATCACAGCTGGCCCTTGTCCCTGGAGGCACGGTGGGAATTCAAACCCCCCAGCTCTTGGCTGCACAGTTGTGTGCTCTTACCCACCGAGTCATACCAGCTTTTGAGACATATATACCCCCTACTAATTGGCAGGACTTAAAAGCTGGGAAATGTCAGACTTTCTGAGGAGCATGATGTTCCCAGTGCCAACGGGATAGGTTTTAATCAAAGATTCACTGGAGCAAATCAAGGCAACACCCCAGTGCCAATGGGATAGGTTTTAAAGATTCACTGGAGCAAATCAAGGCAACAAGTTTCACCCTCAAAACAGATTCAGCACCTGGGAAAGCTCCTTTAAGGTTTGGACTAAAACCGGGAATGAATTCACTGCCCTACTGACATTAGAGCCACCGGTATTTTTGAGCCGGACATCTCTCCAAACAGAAAGATCAGTGTGCCAAAGATGGGTCATGAGACGTTGTTATTCTTAGTGAAAGGTCAGGCTGAAAAATCTTCCTTCCATCTCACCCCTGCCATTCTCACCCACCACAGAAACCAAGACTGAGATGCATGCCATGCCCCTGATGTAGCTCTGGGGAGGGGGGGTTTGGACCCCCAACTGATCAGGACCTGTCTGGCTTTTGGTGACAAGCCTTTCTCTTCTTTTCTGTTCAAACACAGGTTGCACAGCTGTGGAATTCCAGACTGGCTGAGAAAGCACAATGCACCCCCACTCCTATGTGAAGGAAAGCGCCAGAGGTTTACAGACAGGGTGCATAATCCACCTGCTTGAGCACACAATCCAGTAAGGGATACATTTGTGGGGTTTGCTTATATGCCTTAATGTCATTTGCTGGATTAGACTATCCTGCGTGCCCAATATCCCTGTTTTACACAAGAGGGTTGAGTTGTTTTTTTTCCAGAAGCAACAGCAAGAGTGGCATTCTCATTTCTTGCCCCTGCCAAATGAATGCAACCACATGGCTTGGAATGTATGTGCGATTTGATGTCCCCCACCCCACCCTCTTGCTTCTCATTGCCTGCAGTCACAAGTAACACACTTCTCCACAAAGAGCAATTATGAGAACGTTAATAGGTCGATCATAAGACACAGGATCTTCATGTCTGTGGCACACTTATTGCACATGTAGCAGAAGAGCACATTGGTGCATCTGACAAGAGTTCTACATAGGACTCGTCATTCCTCACATCAAAGAACATGTTACATGCCCAGTTTGTCATGTATGAAGCAGCAGTTGGTGACACTACGGAAAATCTGCTTAGCCTGGACTGCTTTTTTGCCAAGAGCTTCCATTCGAAAGGGACCGTGGGTCGAAAACGTAACCTTGCCTCCTCCCCTGGAGCGTCCACATCATTTCCTCTCCATTTCCCCCACTGCAGATTCTGAGATAAAAGGAGGCACCTACCGCTTCAGGCGCACGGGCTGCGACATTCCCCTGGAATGCCCTGGCCTTCCATAGATGGGAAGGTAAATATCCCCCGGTCCACATGGATCATTAGCCTTGCTGCTTCTTAGAGCCTACTGGGCCGAGAGGCAGGAGGAGGTGCAACTTTCCACACGGGGTATTAGGGTAATCCTAATTCCCTTGACTAAGCCTTCCTGTTGCTGAGGACCACTCCTGACGCTCATAGGAACAAAGGGAATGGTTCATTGTCTGAAACGACAGTAGAGGGGATCAGAAGGGTGGAGGAAAGGTCTTCCAAGGCCTCGGCTTTGGTTAAAAAGATCAAATTACTGTATAGTGTCTTTTTCATCTAAGCCAGGCAAATCCTCAATCTCCCAAAAGTAGTGTGCACGGGGTGTGTGTGTGTGTGTGTGTGTG